CGAGGAGGATCCTGTCCGGGTGACACCCAGGGTACCCTGACCCTGCTTCAGTGCCACAGACCCTGGCTTATGGGGGGGGTTCCATAGAGACCTCAGCAGTGCACACATGAGCCCCTTGGCATTGCCTCTGCTCGGGTGCTGTGCTCCCTGTGCCAGGTGCAGCCGGGCAGCCCTGGTCCTGCCGGCTCTCAGAGGCCTGCTGCCTCCATCCGCAGTGGGTGCCTGTATCCCAAATGGGTGCCTCCATCCGCAGTGGGTGCCTGTATCCCAAATGGGTGCCTCCATCTGCAGTAGGTGCCTGTATCCCAAATGGGTGCCTCCATCCGCAGTGGGTGCCTGTATCCCCATATAGATGCCTCCATCCACAGTGGGTGCCTGTATCCCATATAGGTGCCTCCATCTACAGTGGGTGCCTGTATCCCAGGTGGGTGCCCCATCCGTAGTGGGTGCCTGTATCCCAGGTGGGTGCCCCCATCCGCAGTGGGTGCCTGTATTCCAGGTGGGTGCCTTCATCCACAGAGGGTGCCTGTATCCCAAATGTGTGTCCCCCATCCGCAGTGGGTGCCTCCATCCACAGTGGGTGCCCGTATCCCAAATGGGTGCCCCCATCCGCAGTTGGTGCCTGTATCCCAAATGTGTGTCCCCCATCCGCAGTGGATGCCTGTATCCCAAATGGGTGCCCCCATCCACAGTGGGTGCCTGTACCCCAAACGGGTGCTCCCATCCACAGTGACAGCCTGTATCCCAGGTGGGTGCCCCCATCCACAGTGGGTTCCCCCATCCGCAGTGGGTGCCTGTATCCCAACTGGGTGCCCCCATCCGCAGTGGGTGCCTGTATCCCAAATGTGTGCTCCCATCCGCAGTGGGTGCCTGTATCCCAAATGTGTGCTCCCATCCGCAGTGGGTGCCTGTATCCCAAATGTGTGCTCCCATCCGCAGTGGGTGCCTATATCCCAAATGGGTGCCCTCATCCGCAGTGGGTGCCTGTATCCCAGGTGGGTGCCCCCATCCGCAGTGGGTGCCTGTATCCCAACTGGGTGCCCCATCCGCAGTGGGTGCCTGCATCCCAACTGGGTGCCCCCATCCGCAGTGGCTGCCTGTACCCCAAATGTTTGCCCCCATCCGCAGTGGGTGCTTGTATCCCAGGTGGGTGCCCCCATCTGCAGTGGGTGCCTGGATCCCAGGTGGGTGCCCCCATCCGCAGTGGGTGCCTGGATCCCAGGTGGGTGCCCCCATCCGCAGTGGCTGCCTGTACCCCAAATGTTTGCCCCCATCCACAGTGGGTGCTTGTATCCCAGGTGGGTGCCCCCATCTGCAGTGGGTGCCTGTATCCCAGGTGGGTGCCCCCATCCGCAGTGGGTGCCTGCATCCCAACTGGGTGCCCCCATCCGCAGTGGCTGCCTGTACCCCAAATGTTTGCCCCCATCTGCAGTGGGTGCCTGGATCCCAGGTGGGTGCCCCCATCCGCAGTGGGTGCCTGGATCCCAGGTGGGTGCCCTGATGCCAGAGGTGTCCCCAGTCCAGGCACATGTCCTAAACCCCACTGGGGTGCTGTAGCCCTGGGGTGCTCTGACCGCAGGGGTGTCCCCAGGCCAGCTGCAGCTCCTCACCCCAGGCAGGGACCCAAACCCCGGGCAGGTGCCCCCGCCTCAGGCAGGGGTCCCCATCCCAGCAGTACCTCCACCTTACGTGGGTGCCTTCTGCCTCAGGGGTACCTCACACTCAGGGGGGTCACAAACCAGGATGCCCCACACCTGAGTGTCCCCACCTCAGGGGTACCTCCGCCTCAGGGGTGCCTCATACCAGGGTGACCATACCAGGGTGACCATACCAGTGCCTCCACCTCAGGGGTACCCCATACCAGGGTACCCCACCTCCAGCACACCTCCACCTCCAGCTCAGGGACCCCTTCACATCAGGGGTATCCCCACCTTCGGGGGTACCTCCGGTCTGAGGATAACTCCACTTCAAGGGTGCTCCATATTTGGGTGCTCCCCCTCAGAGGTGTTCCCCCTCACCGCGGGGGTACCCCCGCCTCTGGGACATCCCGTACCAGGGTGCCCACCTCAGGGGTACTCAGACCTTGGCTGCTGCACCTCAGCGCGTCCGACCCGAGGGGAGCCCCCCTCCGGGTGTCCCACCTCTGCCCCCCCCCCCCCGGTCGCGCCCCGCCGGCGGGCTCGGAGCCCCCGGTACCTTTGTGCATGCCGGTGAAGCGGTCCTTGAGCACGGTGAGCTCGTAGATGCGGCCGAACTCCTCGAAGAGCGGCTTGAGGTCGCTCTCCTCCAGGTTACGCGGGATCTGCCCCACGAAGAGCTTGATGGCGTCGTGATCCTTCATGGCGATGGCGCCGGGCGGGCGGCTCAGCCCGTTCACCCGGCCGCTGTTCGCGGTGCTGAACGCCGCGCCCGCCTCCGCCGCCGCCGCCACGCCGCTGCCCGCCGCGGCCATGGCCCGCTCCGCCGCCGCCGCCGCCGCCGCCGCTGCGGGAGGCGCCCGCCGCCCCGCCCCGCCCCGCCCCGCCCCGCTCGGCGCCGTTCGGAACCGCTCGGAACCGCTCGGCTCGGCCCGGGCCTCTCCGCTCACGGGCACTGCCCCCCCCCACCAACAACCCGCGGGCTGGTGACGTCAGCAGGCTGGCCCCGGCGAGACGCAGGTCATTAGCATAATGAGGCAGCGGCGGCCAATCAGGAGAGGGGAGGCCGGCCGCCGCGCGGGGGACCCCGGCTCCGCCTACTACTGCCCCCTGCCGGGCCGACCCCAGCCGCTTCTGCCCCATCGCGCTCTGGCTTCCGTCACACCCCACGTCACACCCCGTCACCCCCGTCACACCCCGTCACCCCCCGTCACACCCCGTCACCCCCCGTCACACCCCGTCATCCCCATCACCCCCCGCCACCCGAAGCGGCGCTGGCCAAGAGGCTGAGCCGCCTCCTGCCGTCACCCCCCAGTGGCCCTCAGTAGGTTCCAGAGTGAACACCCACCTTAGGCGGGATTTAAACACCCAAACACGACGAAAAGGGACGATTTTGGCGCTTTGTCGCGGTTTTCGCCTCAATGGACCTTGTGTCACCCCGAAACATCTGTAATTAGGCCAAACGGCTTTAATACCTGGCATGGTTGTTAATTAATTACTCCCAGAGAAGCAGCAGGGCTGGGCAGGGGGGAGTTCCTCAGCACACTGGCACGCGTGTGCAGGCATGTGCGAGCACGTGTGAGCCTGGGTTCGTGCATGCAAGCATGAGCAAGCGCATGTGTGCGAGCTTGCGCAGGTCCCCCCAAGCCCGGGCGTGTTGTGCGAGTGCGTGTGCACACGCATGCATGCTCAAGGGTGCGCAGGCACATGTGTGTGCGGGCACACGCACGCGCTGCAGGCGCGCACACGTGGTTGCAGGAGCGCTCACGAGCACACACGAGAGCGTGCCCAGGCACGTGCAGCTCCATGCCTGTGCTGCCAGCCTGTGCTGCATCTGCACGTGTGTGCAAGCAGGTACACGCACGCACGTGCTCGCGGGCACCCACATGCGAGTCTCTATGTGCAGGCATGTGTAAGCCCATCCCAGCAGCACCCGCTCGAAGGGCTCGGTGCCCGGGTTGTGCATCCGTGGGGGTCCCCGCATCCCCCCACCGAGTTCTGGTTGCTCCTCTCCAGAGCCTGGGTTTATTTTTAATCCCGTCGAGCCCCGGGTGATTCACGCGGCGCCGCCTGCTCCGTGCTCACCGAAATAGATGTGCTGGGGAGAAGAGGCCACACGAGGAGGGGTCTGTGCCACCCCTGCCACGCAGGCACGGGGCAAACACCGGCTCTAAAGCACCAGAGGCCGGCCCAGGAGGTAAAGAGGCTGCTCCACAGCTCCCTGAGGCCTTTGTGGTGCCAAGTGATGCTTCCCAAAGTGGAGGATGCCGTGGGGATGCTGGGTGGTATTGGTGGGGACAAGGGGCAGAGCACAGGATGTCCTCATGGAGTGAGGAGCTTCCGATCAGTGCTTGATGGTGCTAGCACTAGTTACACCGGCCATCCAGAAAGCTTTAGGACTCAGAACCACATCAAATCACGATTATGATTATTATTACTTTGGTCTTTTGAGTTACTCAATCCAAGAGGATTGCCAGCACCGACAGGCAGCAGATCCTGGCTCACACTGCACTGCCTGAAATGCAAGATCAGGACAATACTCATGACCAAAACACGCAGGAAAGGGGCACAAATTCTCCATTGAGACTTGGGGGAAGCAGAGGAGCCTCTTTCCCCAGGAACCAGGGAAAATATCCTTCTTTTCATGTAGAAAAACATCCCCCTTTCCCCAAAACCTGGCTAAAGTTCCCTGTTCCGTGGTGGTTGGGCATCACAACCTACCCTCCCAGCCTGTGTAAGCTGCATCACTTCAGAGGAGCAGCATTTGGGCATCCTTTTGCAGGAGGGTGAAGACATGCAAGACTTGAGAATTACTAGCATTTTTAATGCCAAGTTTTAAAATTTATTTCTAAAGGTCAGATTTTTAAATTAAAATTTTCATTTTTATAGTTAAAATCTTACTTTTTAAATAAAAGTCCAACAACATTTAAAATTAAAGTTCAGCAATGAAAGGTTTCCTGCCATAGCAGCAGATCTCACGCACTTAATCCCAAAACAGTCTTCCCAAGAGATTCCCTGCTTTGAGCTGAGTGTGGTTCCCAACCAGCTGCAGACAAGAGCCACGACTCCAGCTCCATGGGACAGTGGCAGCACCAGTCTCTTCTCCAAGGAGCCAATATCCAGGAGGATGCAGGAGGCCGGGAGCTGAGCTCCCCATCTGAGGGCAGTTCACACCTTCTTGTCACCTCTCTGCAGGGTGGGAAGCAGGGACTAAAGCACAGTAGATCAGGTGGGCACCCAGCACGCTTCGGAGCAATGGGATGCTGCTTCCGCACTGACATCTCTGGAGCAAGCACCTGCACATCTCCTGCCAACAATAGCCCTTGCACGGTTGTAAGTCCCAGCTGAGCATGAAAAAGCACCTTTTCCCTCTTTGGGTCATTTATTTATAGATTTAAAGAATAAAAATAGAAAGAGGCAAAGGGTGCACGCTAAAGGGACAGAAACGTTCATTGCAACAAAGTAAGAGCAGAAGCTGGGGCAGGAGGGGCTAAGCCCAACCAGCAGCTCTTGAGGCAGAACCATCACTCCTCCGGCGTGTGCAGAGCGAGGGCAGTGGGACTCATGCTTCAGAACCCACCAAATTCATTTTCACAGTATCCAACATAGAGCGGCTGCGCCTGGACCCCGCGCCTGGCAAGAGAGGACAGAGAGGGCATCACAACACAGGAGGGACCTGGAGCTACTGGAGCGAGGCCAGAGGAGGCCATGGAGATGCTGCGAGGGCTGGAGCAGCTCTGCTCTGGAGCCAGGCTGAGAGAGCTGGGCTGGGGCAGCCTGGAGAAGAGAAGGCTCCTGAAGGGGAGACCTTAGAGCAGCTCCAGTGCCTAAAGGGGCTGCAGGAAACCTGGAGAGGGGCTTGGGACAAGGGCCTGTAGGGACAGGCCAAGGGGAATGGCTTGAACCTGCCCGAGGGGAGACTGAGCTGAGCTCTTAGGCAGAAGCTCTTCCCTGTGAGGGTGCTGAGGCGCTGGCACAGGGTGCCCAGAGAAGCTGTGGCTGCCCCATCCCTGGCAGTGTTCAAGGCCAGGTTGGACACAGGGGCTTGGAGCAAGCTGCTCCAGTGGAAGGGGTCCCTGCCCGTGGCAGGGTTTGGAGCTGAGTGAGCTTTAAGGCCCCTTCCAACCCAACCCAGTCTGGGATTCTATGATTACACAGAGGACACAGGCAGAGCCCCCAGTCAGGTCTCAGTGGTCACAGGGTGGCCATTGGTGGCTGTCCCAGGTGTGACAAGGAGGGAGAGGTTTTCATCCTGTGCTTGCAGACTTGTTTTTCTGCTCATGTGTGGGAGCCACGGGTAAGGGCAGGTTTCCTGGGGAAGCTGCTGCTGCAGGAGAGGTGGCAATAGCTGACACGTCCCTCTTCCTCAGCACGAAGCCCTCTCCTCGACAGAGCCGCCAGCCCACGCCAGCAGCAGGGTTTCTCTTCCAGCACTGCACAAAGCAGCTCTGCCTACGCACAGGCAGAGAGAAACCTGGGGCTCTCCGTGAGAACAAGGTGCATTCCGCAGCAGGGAAAGCCCACCTCACCCTGCCCGCCCTCCCCGCACCCAGCCAGGCGGCCCCGTGGCCACGCTCCGCGCTGCGGTGCGGAGGACGTTAACGTTACCCCAGGAGCTGGCAGCGGAAGGCCGCCAGCCGCACGTAGGCGTCCTGCAGGCTCCTCACGCTCGCGTTGCTCCACAGTCGCTCGGCCACAGCCCCGGCTCTCGGCCTTGGGGAGCGAAGGACAGAGGCAGAAGGTCATGGGGAGTTCTAACGCTTCCCACACAAAGCCCTGAGCTCCCCAGCACCTTCCTGACCGATGTCCTGCATCACGGGGCTGCTGGGTATCAAAAGATCCACACACAGGTCAGGAGCGGACCAGGGAGGACAGACACACAGCGGTGGTGCACAGCAGCACGTTACACTCTTACAGGCCCTCATGTAAGCCTCAGTGAAGCTGTTACTGGCACAGAGGCCTTGCCAGGGGACAGGGACAAGCACTATGCACAGAGCACACCCACAGTGTTTGGCACACACTGCTCAGTGGTGAAGGAAAGGGGTCCAAGCATTGTCGCTGTGACTCCAGTCAACCCCCCATGGCTTCTCTTACCAGAGCCTGGGGGTCAGGTTAGTGACGTCCACGTATTCACCCCACATGCAGGCCTCTCCACCGATCACCAGATCCTTCTGTTTAGCACTGCCTGCAGAGGACACAGCATTCAGGTGATGGGGTGTTGTATGAGAACACCCTGCCCACAGGGTGCCTGTAACACCCTGGCTCAGCCAAGGAGGCAAAAACTTGTCTATCTGAAAGCCCCCACTTCAAACCCCAGGCTGGGGAGAGCAGAGGTGTTCCCTGCTGGCAGCAAGGGAAAGGGACATAGCACAGGAACCAAGGCCATGGTCACTTAAGCACCTTCACACCAGCAGCAAGACAGGCAGCCCTGGCGCCACCTCCGAGGGACAAGTCAGCTGCCAGACGGGAACGGGACATAAGGAACACACCTTCGAACTTCAAGGGCTCCACTTGGTAGGCTGCCATCCAGTCCTGCCCGTAGGAGATGCGGTTGAGGTACCAGGGGGTAGAGAGCAGAGCGTGGTAGCCAGCCTTGGTGACATCTGCCATCTCCTCCATGTACGGCTTGGAGGCCTTCCACACGTGGATGATGGAGTCTGGCCTCAGCTGAAGAGGACACATGAAGACCCCATGTGGGATCAGAGCAGCAACAAGAGCACCGTGTCTCCCTGCCAGCAGAGCATTCACAGCTCCAAACACCCCAAAGGGAAACTGAGGCAGACTCTGGCTTGACCTTTGAGCCACTTCCCATCTTGTTTTGAGGAAGCAACAGAGAGAGGGATAAGCCCATTTGCACAGTGTCCTGGGCACGGTTCAAACAGACACCAGGGCCACCACGTGCCAGCCCCACCACAGCACCCCACAGCACCCCAGTGTGTCTGGCTGGGGTGCTGGCACTGCTCACCACACCACAGGCAATTGCCTTAGGGAAAGCAGGCAGCTCCCACCTTCACTCCATTGTCAAACACCTCCTGCCAGAGGATAGAACCTTTGCCAAGGGAAGAGACAATGTCCAGGAGCCTGGAATGGAAAGAGAACCAAGTTTTGGGTCATCCCACCTACACTCTCTGCTGGCTGCACACCGCTGAAGTAGCAGCATCGGTATTCCCAACACCAAGAGAGGAAGGTACTTCTAAAAGAGAAGGGAAAAAGCAGAGCCCCTTATGGGGCTTCTTCCTCGTCAGCCCCAGGCTCTGTGTGGTCAAACTCCCAGTACAACACCAGTAAGCTACTCCCTCTGGGGTCAGGGAGACTTTCCCAAATGGATGTTTAGATAGGATATAAGGAAGAAGTTCTTTCCTGTTAGGGTGGTGAGGCACTGGAATGGGTTGCCCAGGGAGGTTGTGAATGCTCCATCCCTGGCAGTGTTCAAGGCCAGGTTGGACGAGGCCTTGGGTGATATGGTTTAGTGTGAGGTGTCCCTGGCCATGGCAGGCAGTTGGAACTTGATGATCTTCAGGTCCTTTCCAACCCTAACTATTCTATGATTCTATTCTTTGTGCTCCTGAAAAGGAGATCTGGTGTCCCCAAAGCAGCAGAAGCCATTTCTGCTGGTCACATAGTGCAGCTGCAGGCCCAGGATGCAGCTGTCCTCACCTCTGGATGTAGAATGACTCCAGTTTTCTGTAATCTTCACCAAAGCCCATCTGCTTCATGAAGGCACGGATTTCTGGATTGGATTTCCTGTGCACCAAAGAGAAGAGAATAAAAGCACTGCAACCAGAGCTCTGGAGTAAGGCCAAGACATGGCCAAGTCCTTCCCACATCCATCCACAGCTATCCCAGGCGTTCCAAGAGCTGTGGCTGCACTGGCATCAGTGGCTTCCCACAACCGGCATGCCCATGAGCACAGAAACCCTGGGCAGCTAACACACAGAGCCCGGGGAGCAGGACACCAAGGACCTGCAGATGATCATGGCTCCAGTCCCAGATACTTCCCCCCTCCAGACCCCATCCAGACTGATCTCAGCCTCACCAGCACGTGAAGTCCACCTCGTCACCACCGAGGTGAAGAAAGAAGTCTGGGAACACAGAGCTGACTTCCTGAAACAAACTGGTCACAAACTGGTACGTGCTGTTAAGGACTGGGTTGATGGGCCCATAGGTCCCAGAAGGATGCTTGCCTGAATAGCAGGGAGTCAGGAGGCCTGGAGCACCTGGGTCATAATAAACACAGAACAGTGAGGAGGGGAGCAGATGTGGCCATATCACCCCATATAACCCCCAGATGCTCCTCAGCACAGCCCAGGGCCTGCCAGGGCACAGAGGACCTGAGCATGGCCCATGAGGCACAAACAGCAGCAGAATCTCTGGCTCAAGATGTCTGACCTGACAGGGAGGGATGCTGCTTTGGGGAGATTCCTACAGGAGCTCACACGCTGAGCAGTGCAGTGCCCAGCACCCTCTCCCAGCTCCACACACCCGCTAGAGGCAGGGCAACCACAGTTATGGATGTGACCATATGAAAAGGGTGTACTCCAGTGCATTTGGGAGCAGGGGAAGAAGACAGAAAGACAAGGCAATGTTTTCCTGGAGCTTCTCGTTCTTCCAGACATGGAAAAGGAGATACTTGAAGTAGAGAGAAGCGTGTCAGGACTGGGGTGCAGCTGAGCAGAGGGAGGAAGCTTGCTCAGCTGTATCTCTAGTTAAACCCAAGATCCTGGCAATACCCATGACCTTAGCTTTGGCAGAGCAGGTGTTCCCCCAAAATCACACTGATTGGCCCTAAGAAGAGAGGGAAATGCTTTAACTTTGGCTTTTGCTCAGAAGCTGGATCACTGCATCCCACTTCCCCCAGACGATGGTTTGCTCCTCCTCAAAGCCAGCCTGTGGGACACAGCTGCCCACAGCCTGAGTGTGGGATCCAGGCTGCAGATTCCCTTGCTGCCCCTGGTACAACTGCCCCCCCCTCACAGCAGCAGCAGCAGCAGCAGCATCAGCAGTGGGGTGTGCTCCTCACCCGGCCCCCAGGACAGCGTGTGCCCCGGAGTGTCGAACTCCGCAATGACCCTGATGCCGCGCAGCCGCGCGTACTCCATCACCGCCTGCACGTCACCGCCCGTGTACACGTGGCTCATGGCATTGAAGGCTCCCTGCGGGAACACAGGAACCTCAGCACCCTTCCCAGGTGCTGATGGAGGGATCTGCTCCCCCGGGGGATGCTCAGGGGGTTACCTGCTTGCTGAGCTCGGGGAAGGTTGAGCTCTCATAGGGGAAGGATGGGTCGTCCACAATGTGCCAGTGAAACACGTTGAACTTGTTGTAAGCCATGACATCCTGGGAAGGAACAGGGACAAGGATGAATATGCCCTGCCCCTTCTGAAAGGTCACCCAGCTTGCCATAGAAAGGGGACAAGGTCTCTCTGGCCCAAAAGGACAAGGCAGATTCCTTAAATGTGCCCCAGAACCCAAGAGGGATTCAGACACCTTTCTTAGACACACCAGCACCACAAAGAGCTGCAGAGGGCCCTGTTCTTCCTACAGCTGAGCACTGGTGGAGACCTGGAAGTTTAATTCTGCCTGGGATGAACACAGAACCACCACTCGCCTTTGTCTGACCTGCCTGGCAAGAAGTCACTGTTCTCCCTTCCCTCAGAAACAACCCAGCCTCAGAAAGTAACCTGCATTGCAGGAATCCAGGGGGGTCTGCCTCATCCTATTTACAAAGGGAGCTGAGAAATCACCCAAACAAGGAGGCTGGGAGTGATCTCAGGAGCAAACACAGCCATGTTTTACCCCACAGGAAACATAGCACTGGGAAGGGTCCGCAGCATGGAAGCGTTTTCCTGTGATGAACATCTGTGTATTAAGAATTGAGGTCATGCTGCCATCCCACCCCAGCCTGCTGCTTCATCTAGGGACAAGCAAGCCCGTTTTGCTCAGAACAGCCAGGTTTGATGAGCTCTTCCTCAGTGCGCTGTAGATGCAGGGGACACAGCTCCTGGGATCTTTGGAAAGGAGCAGCACACAGAAAACCAACCCAAAAGCCCTCCAGGCCACTCACAGAGGGCTCAGCTGTGGCAGCAGAAGGGACACCCAACTAGAGCACCTCATCCCCCAGCACAGGCACCCTACCAGCGTTTCCAGGATGGCTCTGAGGGGCAGGTAGTGACGAGAGGTGTCCAGCAGCAGTCCCCGGTGAGGGAAGCGGGGAAAGTCCACGATTTCTGTCTTGTTGATGTAGTACTGCACACAGAGAACACCAAGAAGTGAGCAAGGCTTTGGGCGACACAGCCATCAGCAGGGGACAACCAGGGTCACCTTTGTCCCCAGGGCAGGTGGGACGAGGAGGGGTACCCTCACTGCCCACACTAGAGGCTAGCCAGGGAGAGCTGCAGCACCTAACCCGCTCACAAGGCAGGATCTGCATTCATAAATCCCTGTGTGGGCTCTGGTGAGGCTGCACTGCTGGTACCTCCCCACAGGGACTCCCCATCCTGCCCCATGGAGGCAGGAGCACTATGGAGAGCTGCCTGCCCCAGCACTCACCGTGCCGTTCTGGTCTCTCCCAACGAGCTGGCTGAATGTTTCCAGGCCTGCAGGAAAACCACACACAGTCCCTTTCTCAGCACAGATTCCCCCAAAGGAACAGAGCTCAATTAAGAGCTAAGTCGATGGAAAGACAGGCACATCCCCATAGGCCTGAGGCAGGGAGAGTGGGAATGTCCCACAGAAAGCACACTTCACCTCTGAGAGCTCCCCAGACGGCATCAGCAGAAAGCAGCAAGGAGCCTTCCGAGACAGAGAGCTTGTCTGAAACACAGCATCAGAGAGGCTGGAGTTAGGTCCCACACTCCATCACGCGCTGCTGCAGGCCACAGCAGCACCGGGGCAGGTTTAGATGGAGCTGAGGAACAATTCCTGCCCCAGAGGTGCTCAGGCATTGGAACAGGCTGCCCAGGGCAGGGCTGCAGGCACCGTCCCTGCAAGTGTTCACACAGCGTGGAGACGAGGCCTCAGTGCCATGGGTCAGTGGTGGCCTTGGCAGGGCTGGGAATGGTTGGACTGGATGAGCTTAAAGGGCTTTTCCAACCTAGTTGATTCTATGATTCTATTCTAGGACTGGACCTTAGATCCCAGAGAACAGATTTGGGGGGTTCTTCTTTGTTTTAACCCTTTCCCATCGCTTTATCAGCACCCTTAGGGAAGTGCCTCCCCCCTGCCCGTTTGTCAATAACCCAGTGAGGATTGCTGCCACTCTGCAACTGGGGGCAAGTGCTCCACAGTGCTACTTCCACCTGATGGGCACAGGAACAGCCGCACTCCCTCCTGCTCCCAGGCTCCACACTTACAGCTCTCCTTGGAGTCCAGGTTGGGAAACCCATCACAGTCTGGTGTGGCCACAAAGACGAGGAGCTGAGTGCAGGGCAAGTCCTGGGATGGGTTCTCTGTGAAGGGGTCAGCTCCATTCCCTGCAAAGGACACAGACCACGGACATCAACCCCATCCTGGCCCTTTTCCCTGCTCCCAGTCCACCACAACCCTGTGGTGGGAGGCACAGGAATACATGGTTTTAACACACAGCACCGCCTCCCTCACCCCAGAGCAGGCACCGGGTGTTCAGCAGGGCCTTCCTTCAGACACAGGCAATCAGGAACACATGAGCTGATCCCAACCAAGCACAAAAGTGAGGAATCCCCCAGGGAAGGCTTTGCAGTGGAAGCTTAAAGGAGTGCACAGGAGACACATCAGAGCATGGCCTAGGAGCAGTCCCCAAAGCCTCCTGAACACCAACCCTGTTCCAGCAGGTACAACTATTCAAATCTTCTCTGGGGCGGGGGGGGTGAAGAGATTCATGCTTCCAAACTCTCCCGACCATGGGAAATGAAGCACAGCCCCAAAAGCTGTGCTACCCTCCCCACACAGCACAGACAGGGCAAAGAAGCCCTGCAGGAAAGGGTGGAGAATGAATCCAAGCCTGCTGCAGCTTAGAATCATAGAACAGTTAGGGTTGGAAAGGACCTTAAGATCATCAAGAGCATAGTGGCTGGAAAACAAACCTGATCATATTCAGACCCCCGGCAGGAGCTCTGGCCACACTTCCCTATCTTGGAAGAAGCACTTCCAAGGATGTACAAGCCCAAGACCTCATTGGAATCATTCCCCCAACTACCAGAGGCGTTCAGCCTTTGCTGAGACACATGGGTCTGGCCAGGGAGAGGGCGGGTTAGTGGGGTGAGACCCTGCTACTCACAGCCAACTCCATGTCTACACCCCACAGCATTCCCAGGAACAGTCGCTACTCAATACAGTCACTAAACATAAGGAGCTTGGCTTTGAGCGAGCCTGGTCAGAAGCCAGGCACCAAGCAGACCTGGGAGAGACAGTGTTTGGGGGGAATGCAGAGCCCATGCTCCCAAAGCTTGCAGGAGCCAGAGCCCCGCATTCCTCAAGGATGGAATGATGAAACCTCCGTGGAGAGCAGGGAAAAGGCTAGAAGATAGCCCTGTTTTGAGCTTTCCTCTGGTTGCAGACAAGCTGGTAGCCAAGGCAACCCTGCAGATGTGCGAGCACACGGCAGCACAGCAGGACCTGCTCCCTCTGCTCGGCAAGGCGCTGCTCACCAGGGACGGCTGCTCTCAAGCCTGGGGACACAGAAACGCTGGCTCTGCTGAGGTGCCACAACAGAACCGCTCCCACCACAACAACCACGTTTAAACCTGCCCAGGGACACACGGCCACCGCTGTCGCTCCTAGAAGGCTATGCAGGTGGGTGCACCAAGGATACGTGATCCATTCACCAGGAAGGCTGAAGGTGAAACATCATGGAGTTTACAGTCATAAACTGCAGGATAAGGGCACTAATAACTAACTGCAGGAGGTTAGCAGCAGGAAAACAGCGTGGGTGGCTTGAGTCCCACACAGAGACCGGGGTCTCTCGCAGGCTCGTTTTGGAGCTGTCCAGCTGAAAGACAAGAGACAAGGCGACAGCAGCAAGGGAAATTCAATTAGACATGGGAGTTAATTCTTCACCTGGAGGGTGGACAAACACTCCAGCAAGGACCCAGTTCTCCACCCTTGGAAATAGCATCATTCCAGCTGGAAACAGCTCCCAGAAGCTCGACCCAACTGCGAAGTAGGCTCCAATTTGGGTTTGGTTCATTTTGAGTAGGGGCTTGGCAAAGACCCCTATATGTCTCTCTTAAATTGGTCTCAGTTTTCGTGCTTGAAGACCAGAATGAATGGAGAGGTTGGAGAGAATCTCGCCTGCTGTTAAACTGACATAGCAGATTCTTGAGACACATGGGAAAATGGTTTCTGCTGTTTATTTTCTCTATTCATAGAAACTATTTCCTTCCATCCAGGGTTTCCATTGCCCATTCGTACTAACCACTCAGGTGGAAAGAAAAAGGGAAGGCAAAGAGGGAAAAAGCCTTAATCATGTAGTGTCATAAAGCAGGGTGTATGGAAAGCGAGGAGCACGAGCTCAGTCTCATGATCGCCCAGTTTCACCAAGTGATGTGATGCTCACATTTTCCCTCTGGGATGAACAGGAAAACGTGAATAATTCTATCAGCTGGTTTAAGGTTGGATCCTAGCAGCACAAAAGCAAGAAGTCTCCTCAGCTCCCAAATCAAACTGTATTTCTATCACTACTTACAAGAGTTGAAGAAATAAAATAAGCCAAACGGATTTTTCTCAGGGTCTCAAACTTGCCTTGGTCCAAGCACGACGAGCTCAAGACGAAGCCGAGTGGCTCCCAGTGCCACGAGCGCTGATCCGCAGCTCACACTGGCCCTTCAGCACACTTCAAGCCCATTCGTGGCTCTTCCTGATGAACGAAGCACCTCACGTTCCCCACATGCAGCGCTCCAGGCTGCCGCAGACCCATGCAGGCACCCAGCATCCGCATGCGCCGGCTCCACAGCCCCTGCACACAGCCAGGGACCTCCTGCAGGCACGCACTGGGTGCTGCCACAAAGAGGTCTGGGCACGGGAGCCTGCCCCAAGGCGAGCCCAGGCTCTCAAAGCTTCTGCCTTTCCCCTTCTCGCCCTACAGAGTCAGGATGAATCCATGAGCTACCTCGGCCAGAACAGCCACGCTGCCTCGGGATGCTTAGCAACCCTTCTGGAGAGCGCTCCACGGCATGGATGCGTACTTGGAAGGCACATGCATGAAGCAACACGGGTCTTTCTTCAAGGAATGCTTCACACTGCGCAGCAGGAGCTGCTAGGCGCAGGAAGAGTCAAGACTAGCAAAAACTACGGGACCTGAAGGGATTGCAACAGCAGTCGCAAGAGAAGGAAGGGAAATGAAGCCCTGGGGAGCTGCAACACGATGTGGAGCGGATAAAACAATGAGATAAAGTCTTGATAGCAAGACCCTAACTCCCTGAAAGCCAACCAGCTCCGCACTGAACTGCAAGAGGTGCGCGGCACAGGCGCTGCCCTTGCCGTGAGGCTCAACCCAAGCCACTGCGGCATCAGCCCGTGGCCACCCCCAGCGCCAGCCCCGCTGACCCGCGGCGATGCGGGGTTCCCAGGCACACAGCACCCAAACCCCCGCTCTGACCCCGGCACACACGGGGCCTTGGGGCTGGGGGTTCCTGCCAGAATAAAGCCACACACGGAAGTAACAACCGCGCTTCCAGCGGCGCCGAGCCCCCCGCCCCGCCGGCAGCCCCCACCCCGCCTCACCGGTCGGGCGGGCGGCGGCGAAGAGCAGCGCCCGGTACCGCTGGAACGCCGCCTCCAGCACGGTGCAGCCCGGCCCCACGGCCGAGCCCGCGGCGTGGCCGAAGCGGAACCGGGCGGGCGGCAGCAGGCAGCGGCCACCGCCGGGCGGGGAGCGCTGGACCTGCGGCCGCGGCCACACGGCAGCCACCGGCTGGAGCAGCACCGGCAGCAGCAGCACCGGCAGCAGCCGCGGCAGAGCCCGTCCCGCCGCCATGTCGTGCCCCGCTGCCTGAGGGAGAGGGCGGCGCCGCCCGCCAAATGGCAGCTCGGCCCCGCGGGGCCGGGCCGGGGCCGGGGCCGGGTTTGCGTCCCCCGGGCCACCGGCACCTCACAGCGCCCTCCCCCCAGCGCCGCCGGGAGCCAGAGCCCAGGCGAGCGGCTCTTCACTGTCAAATAAACCCACAGAGCCTGCCGGTGTGCTCGGTTCTGGGCCCTCGCCACAGGAGAGACATTGAGGGGCTGCGGCAGGGCCAGAGCAGGGCAGCGGAGCTGGTGCAGGGCCTGGAGCACAGGGGTGATGGGGAAGGGCTGAGGGACCTGGGGGGTTCAGTCTGGAGAAGAGAAGGCTCAGGGGGGACCTGATCGCTGCCTCCAACTGCCTGACAGGAGGATGGAGCCAGGAGGGGCTGGGCTCTGCTCCCAAGGAACAAGGGATGGGACAAGAGGAACCGGCCTCAAGCTGCACCAGGGCAGGTTTAGATGGAGCTGAGGAACAATTCCTGCCCCAGAGGTGCTCAGGCATTGGAACAGGCTGCCCAGGGCAGGGCTGCAGGCACCGTCCCTGCAAGTGTTCACACAGCGTGGAGACGAGGCCTCAGAGCCATGGGTTAGTGGTGGCCTTGGCAGAGCTGGGGAATGGTTGGACTGGATGAGCTTAAAGGGCTTTTCCAACCTGGCTGATTCCATGATTCTAAGCTCTTGTTGCGGGACACTGCTTCCCCAGCCCTCAGATGCGAGAGCCCCTCCACCACACTCCCTGCCCCAGCAGATCCTGCTCAGTCTGATTTGGGCTTTGAGAGCCCAGTGAATTCCTTACAACACATACTGCACCTGCAGCAGCTCCCAGCTGTGGGACTGAGCACGGGTGGGCACCGGTCTGACTTGGGCTTTGACATGCTCTTGGTGCCATGTGTTTTTATGAGCAGTGCTGGGTGTCCATCAGCCCTTGCTCAGGTTCCCAGGGTTATCTCATAGGCAGCAGGTGAAATGCTGGTTGGCTTGTACCAAGGGAAAGGGCTTTATCCCATGCTGGAGCCTCACAGTGCAGTGTTGCAGAGATGCTTTCCACACAGGGACTAGCTTTTGCAAGGAAACAACCTCAGGTTAACTCTTTGTTTTACCTCCTCCCTCTCATCTCTCTGTTCCTCAGCAATCCCCAGGGCAGATAAGGACCCTTAAGTTCAGGTCTTACCCATCTGATTGCTTCACAAACCTACCAGCTCCTGCATGGGGACCAACTCCATTCAATTAGGCAACAAAATCAAGCAATCCCAGCACAAGCACAGGCTGGGGGAGACCAACTGAAGCAGCCCCGAGAAGAACTTGGGGGTGTCAGTCCACAAGAAGCTCCCCATGACCAGGTCTCAGTGTATGCTTGAGCCCAGACCCCCCCCCATGTGCTGGGCTGCACCCCCAGAGCATGAGCAGCAGCTCAGGGAGGGGATCCTGCCCCTCTGCTGTGCTCTGGGGAGACCCCCCTGCAGCCCTGATCCAGCTCTGGGGCAGCAGCACAAGAGGGACCTGGAGCTGTTGGAGCGAGGCCAGAGGAGGCCATGGAGATGCTGCGAGGGCTGGAGCAGCTCTGCTCTGGAGCCAGGCTGAGAGAGCTGGGCTGGGGCAGCCTGGAGAAGAGAAGGCTCCTGAAGGGGAGACCTTAGAGCAGCTCCAGTGCCTAAAGGGGCTGCAGGAAACCTGGAGAGGGGCTTGGGACAAGGGCCTGTAGGGACAGGCCAAGGGGAATGGCTTGAACCTGCCCGAGGGGAGACTGAGCTGAGCTCTTAGGCAGAAGCTCTTCCCTGTGAGGGTGCTGAGGCGCTGGCACAGGGTGCCCAGAGAAGCTGTGGCTGCCCCATCCCTGGCAGTGTTCAAGGCCAGGTTGGACACAGGGGCTTGGAGCAAGCTGCTCCAGTGGAAGGGGTCCCTGCCTGTGGCAGGGGTTGGGACTGGATGAGCTTTGAGGTCCTTTACCCCAAGCCAGCCTGGAAGTCAATGAAGTTACAAGAATACTGTTGTCCCCTGAGCAAGCAGTGAAGCCACCAGAAATCTCCAAGCTATCGGCAGTGCTGGGAGACAAGCCCCAGGCATGGGGAGCAAGCAAGAAATTAAATGCCATGGGAGAGAGCATGGCAAGGGATATTGCCTCATCTCACTAGCACAAGGTGAAAAAACACTTTGCAGAAGCAGGACACAGCCATGGAAGGGTCTGGTGGGATATTTAAGGAATTCTCCATCATGTGAGCAACACAGAACCAGGGTCAACGGAGAAAAAGTCTTCTGCAGAAAAACCTCAAGGAATTTGCTGTCAAAGGTTAGAAAAGCAGCAGCACAAAGCTGTGGGGTGGCGGTGAAAGGAGGAGCTGTGGGGACCTTTGGGACCGGAGAGGAGGGTTGGGGTGGGATGGGGGAAAATGCTCTGCAGAGCTGAAGGAAGCTGGGAGGTAAACAATGTTTTGAGGGTCTCACACAGGTGGAGCAGTTGTGGGGATGCCAGGCAGCAGGAGGCAATCACAGTTCGGTTTGGGTCTAAATGGGATTGTGGGAATTCCATGAGATTGGTGGAAACTGATAGGGAAACTCCAGTGGGGGAAGGCAGGGACTAAGGGAGCTAAGGGAGCCAGGCGAGGAACGGGAGCTAGGCCAGAGCTGGCGCTGCCATAGGCTTAACAACTACACAGCGCTGCATCCCGCTTCTGAAACCCCGCAGAACAACAAAGACCACTCATCCTCCTAAGGGAAGGGGAGCCAAGAGCCCAGGGCAGGCACAACACAGGCCAACAGCCTTACCAGCTGGGTGCTGCCCCATGGCCAGGCAAGCAGAGCATGGAGGTGGCAGTAACGGGGCCACCAACAGTCCCAGTGTCACCCAGCAAAAGCAAAGCAAAGAGTGCAAAATCAACCCAGGGAAGCCTCGGAACAGATGCACTTCCAGAAGAGCATAGAAAGGAAGCAGCTGCCTAAGCTCCAGCTTAAATAGAGCTCCTGGAGCAATGGGTTGTGGGTGGAGGTGCCAGGCAAGGCTGATTGGGGCACTTAAAGCCAGTTGGTGCCCTCAGGCTCCTGCCAATCCTTACCTGTTCCTTGTTTTCCCTATGGAGTGGTGGCAGGACCCCAGTTCAGCATGGTAGTATGTGCTAGGCTGCTTCCTGATGGCTTTTCCAGCTCCAGTGCCATAGCTCCAGGGCTTTGGCCCATCTCTACCCACATTCCATGGCAAGAAGGGACATGGAGGAAAACACCTACATTCCAACCTGCATTGGGCCTCTGGGAAAACAGCCCCTGTCATTCTTTGTATTCACTTTCCTCCTCTTGTCTCGAGGCTGCTGCTGGTCTACACAAAGCCTCAGTGGTCTTCATTGGGGTTTGTTGCCTTTCCGTGGGCAAACATCCACTGCTTTTCTGACAGCTCTGATTGATTCCAGTGTCTCTAGGAGTTTCACTGTATTAAGATTGCAAGGGAAGAAACAACCACCTAACCCCAGGACAGTTTGTTGCTGTGTTGCATCAGGCAACGTCAGCAGCATCGTCAGGGCCGTGCTTCCTGAGATTGAAGGTGCCCTGACCTGAAGCAAATCCTCATTTCAGTGCCTGCCACACTCCTGTGCAGCATTGTGATCACAGCTTTCCATGGAGATATTCAAGCTTTTCAATGGATTCTGTTGCTGTTGCTATTTTAGGGAACTTGATGTCTCCAGGGGATGACTCAGACAAGTTCATCTGTAGCTGGCCAGCATTAATCTAGACTAACAGACTGATTCAGGAATGCAGTTTTATGTAAGAAAACTGCCTAAGCACGTGTTTAACTTGGGAGCTTGGCTAAAAGAAACTGCTTTACACGCTGCCCTGCACGGGGCATAGAGCAGCAGTAGCCAGAAGCTGCTGATGCTGTTCAGCAGCAATACAACAGCCCAGCCTGTGGTCTCAGGGCACATCTCCAGGGTGATCTGTCCCTTGGGAAGGTTGGCCTCTTCAGGCCAGTTCAGCAGGGAACAAGCAGGGAGTAAACACGGGGACACAAGGTTCAGAGCTTACCTGTGCTCCCCCACTGCACCTTCGCTTGCCCTAACTCTGGCCACCAGCCCCCTAGACTTGTTTAAAGGCTTCAATGTCAGTGCATGGGGCTGAGGACATTGTGCTGCCCCTGCCCTTGCAGAAGGAGGTACCTGCAAATCCCTCCTCTCATCTCTTGGACTGCAAGAGCTGGAAGCCAGGTTGCTGGGGGACTCTGCAGAACGCTGTGCTGCACCAGGACTCTGCTGGGTTACCTGCTTACTGCTGATAATGAAGTTGGTAGAAATCCAAATTCCTTGTTCTGACACAAATTGTTATGAAATCTGGCTGGTGTCACACGTGGGTCTTTCTGGTTTGTTTTCCTCTGGGGCATGAAGGTGGCCGTTGGGCTGTCGGTGCAGTTCCTTGTTCCACAGCATTTTTTTAAGGTATAAACCCATTTATTATGCTGCCTAATTCCCTGTAACACTGGCTGCTCCTGCATTCAATCATGAGGACGTCTTGCATACAGATTCCTCCGCTGGTGAGAAGCGAATGAGCTGTGGACAGAGGAACGGAGGACGCCATTCATGACAACCTCCACAGAGCATGAGTGTTGTGTTTGCTTTGCTCTTTGAGCCAAACGCTGTCTAAGCCCAGTCATTCTGGAGTGAATCCAGCTTCAGGTCGAGGGGCTTGCAGGTGGTGTGGCTGCAGGAGGGCTTCGGAACACATGGATCGTCACCTTGAAATGCCTCTGACTGCCTGTAGTCCTCTGACTTCAATTTTGACATCTCAGAGGCGTTCCGGGCACGCTTCCTCTCTCCATTTACCTGTTTATGTCCCCTTCCAGCCATGGTGAATAATTATGGTGTTTGGACTGCAATCAGTGCGGGTGGCAGCTGCTGTGTTGCAGTGGCATTACTCAGGGTGGTGATCAGGGGGAAGTGAGGGTCTTTGCAGGTGTCAGCCCTCCTGTGGCACATCCCTGTGTTTTAGGGATGATGTCACTCATCGTGGTGTCACTGGCAGGGAGC